AGTGTGTGGGAGAAATATACAGGGATTGTATACTATGGTGCTAGTATGTTGTGTGGAAGAAATATACAGGGATTGTAGACCATGGTGCTAGTATTGTGTATGGGAGAAATATACAGGGATTGTATACCATGGTGCTAGTATGGTGTGTGGGAGAAATATATAGGGATTGTATATAATGGTGCTAGTATCTTGTGCGGGAGAAATACACAAGGATTGTATACCATGGAGCTCGTATGGTGTGTGGGAGAAATATACAGGGAGTGTATACCATGGTGCTAGTATAGTGTGTGGGAGAAATATACAGGGATTGTATACCATGGTGCTAGTATGGTGTGTGGGAGAAATATACAGGGAGTGTATACCATGGTGCTAGTATATTATGTGGGAGAAATATACAGGAATTTTATACCATGGTGCTAGTACAGTGTGCGAGAGAAATATACAGGGATTGTATATAATGGTGCTAGTATGGTGTGTGGGAGAAATATACAGGGATTGTATATCATGGTGCTAGTACAGTGTGTGGGAGAAATATACAGTAACTGTATACCATGGTGCTAGTATATTATGTGGGAGAAATATACAGGAATTTTATACCATGGTGCTAGTACAGTGTGCGAGAGAAATATACAGGGATTGTATACCATGGTGCTAGTATAGTGTGTGGGGGAAATACACAGGGATTGTATACCATGGTGCTAGTATGGTGTGTGGGTGAAATATACAGGGATTGTATACCATGGTGCTAGTATGGTGTGTGAAAGAAATATACAGGGATTGTATACCATGGTGCTAGTATAGTGTGTGGGAGAAATATACAGGGATTGTATACCATGGTGCTAGTATGGTGTGTGGGAGAAATATACAGAGATTGTATACCATGGTACTAGTATGTTATGTGGGAGAAATATACAGGGATTGTATACCATGGTACTAGTATGATGTTTGGGAGAAATATACAGGGATTGTATACCATGGTGCTAGTATGTTGTGTGAAAGAAAAATACAGGGATCGTATACCATGGTGCTAGTATGTTGTGTGGAAGATATATACAGGAATTGTATACAATGGTGCTAGTATGGTGTATGGGAGACATATACAGGGATTGTATACCATGGTGCTAGTATAGTGTGTGGGGGAAATATAAAGGGATTGTATACCATAGTGCTAGTATGGTGTGTGGGAGAAATATACAGGGATTGTATACCATGGTGCTAGTATAGCGTGTGGGAGAAATATACAGGGATTGTATACCATGGTGCTAGTATGGTGTGTGGGAGAAATATACAGGGATTGTATACCATGGTGCGAGTATGGTGTGTGGGGGAAATACACAGGGATTGTATACCATGGTGCTAGTATGGTGTGTGGGTGAAATATACAGGGATTGTATACCATGGTGCTAGTATGGTGTGTGGGAGAAATATACAGGGATTGTATACCATGGTGCTAGTATGATGTGTGGGAGAAATATACAGGGATTGTATAACATGGTGCTAGTATGGTGTGTGGGGGAAATATACAGGGATTGTATACCATGGTGCGAGTATGGTGTGTGGGGGAAATACACAGGGATTGTATACCATGGTGCTAGTATGGTGTGTGGGTGAAATATACAGGGATTGTATACCCCATGGTGCTAGTATGGTGTGTGGGAGAAATATACAGGGATTGTATACCCATGGTGCTAGTATGATGTGTGGGAGAAATATACCAGGGATTGTATAA